AGCAGTGATGCCTGAAATGGAGGCAGAGACGATGACGTGGAGTGATGGAGCAGCTGGGGACTTTAGATCCAGAGAGGGAGAGCGACTGTGTGCTGAAGACTGGGGCGGGGGAGTGTAGTGGGCAGGCTTGCAGGGTATACCCTTTGGTTGGTTGATGATGCATGAAGGGGATTGTTAACCATGGCAATGAAATAATATACGATAGAATAAATGTAAAACTAATGTTCTCCCATGTAAACTATCATATAAAATTCACAATAAAACATTAAAAAAAAATACAGTTAATTATGTTGTTGTTAAGTGCCGGTGGGTTGGTTCAAACTCATAACGACCCTGTACAGTGTTTACAATGGGTGGCTTTGAATCACCAGCCTTGCAGTTAGCAGTCCAGTGCTTACCCTACAGCAACACACCACAACTCCACAGATAAATATATTGATAGACTATTATGTACTTTCAACACAAAAAGCCTTTTATACGAGGGAGAAACATAGACAAACAATCTCAATATTAAAAAGCTGGAGAGACCAAAGCATCACTTTCCTTCTCGATGAGAAATATTAAGGATAATGGACCACAAGGTCGGTTTGAAACACAAGGTAAGTGATTCAAGCTCACCACCAACCATGATTCTGTCTCATGGTGCCTGCATGTGTGTCAGAGTAGAACTGCACTTCATAGACTTTTCAATGGTTGATTACTGTGGAAGTAGATCACCAGGCCTTTTTTCTGCAGTGTCTCTGTGTAGACTCCAACCTTTAGGTTAGCAGCTGAGAGCATTAACTGTTCACACCACTCAAAGATTTCCTATTTTGCTTAATGAGTAATAAAGTCATAACAGTTAAGTAAAACTTCACTATTGCAGATATTGGAGGGGCAGTTAGAGAAGATAAATTATTATAAATAATACTTTACTTATAATACTTGATATATGTGTTGTATAATATACATGTAATATTACATATATAAGGAGCTCTGGTAGCATAGTGGTTACGAATCGGGCTGTGAATCTTCAGGTCAGCAGTTTGAAACTACCAGCTGTTCCGTGGGAGAAAGATGAGGCGTTCTGCTCCTGTAAAGATTTACAGCCTTGGAAACCCTGTACAGGGTCGCTGTGAGTTGGAAACGACTCCACAGCACATAACCACAATAACAATATTATATATAATATATATTATAATGAAATGTGCAAAGACCTGAAGTTAGAAAACCAACGGGAAGAATGTGCTCAATATTTTTCAAGTTGAAAGAATTGAAGAAAAATGCTAGCCTCGACTTGTAATATTGAAGGAATCTATGGGCAAAATATTGAATGATATAGAAAACAACAAAAGACGATGGAAAGTATATGCAGAATAACTGTACCAAAATGAAATGGTCAATGCTCAACCATTTCAAGAGGTAGTCTATCATCAAGAAGCGATGGTACTGAAGGAAGAAGTCCAAGCTGCACTGAAGGCTCTGGCAAAACACAAGGCTCTATGAACAGATGGAATACAAACTGAAATATTTAAACAGACTGATGAAGCACTGGAGGCACTCATTCAATTATGTCAAGAAATTTGCATGACAGCTACCTGGCCAACTGATTGGAAGAAATCCATGTCTGTACCCATTCCAGGTAGTTCAATGGAAGGCAGAAATTATA